TATGTCGCTCCGGAGCCAGAAATACCCTAGATTAGCGAATGCTAATCAAGCTTTGATCACGCGCTGAGAGATCTCCTCGCCCACATTCCCGTTATGCAACTGCCGAAGTGGACAAAGCTTTCGACTACTTCCAGGGTGTTTGCCCAACGAAAGTGCGACAACACTTTTCACTTTGAAGATGTAAGCGACATACCATAACGAGTGACCTGAATTGCCGTACAATTCAACAACTCTTGAATTGTTGGTGCGTTGTCACCAAGTAAGGCAATATTATCGGCATACTCTAAGTCTACGATTCTGTCTCCAGGACGAAGCTCGACGCCAACGTTCGTCACATTACGCAACGCGTTTTGTGGAACATCATCTATGGCAAGGCTGAAGAGAAACGAAGACGAGCATATCTATACTTATCACAACGTATAAAATCTGCTCTCCGAGCTGCTGATTCTTCGCTGTTCGGGTTTCTCTTTAGCGAACTGCGGCTGTCACCTGGTGGTCAAACTCACCAAATTATCGCTCTAGTTGACAAATTTATTTGTGATTGAATCGAAAGTCAACGGAGAAAGAATCACAAAAACAAATCTTATTTTTAAGCTGTATTGTTCTTTCACTGAAAGCTTATTTTCTTTTCAGATGTATTGTTTACTTTTTAAATCTCGGTATTGGGGCCTCATAAGCTGTGACCTAGTACCAACTAGACTGTCTACGAGATTCACCTGTCTACTCGCATCGGTCATTGACATTTGACCAAATAGTTGTGTGATCTATCATACCCAGCGGTGATCGAGTGGCGTAAGTCATTATCGTCGTCGTCTTCATTGAATTAGGTCATGTGTTTGAATCATCTCACACCCATCTAACTCACTGTTTCCCACCATATTCCTTGACTTTCTGTTTCTTATATCATCATTTTTTCACGCATCTGATTCCAGACTGTGTGCCACATAAATCACGATACAATGCTACTTATACCAAATAAAAGGTTGGTCGGTCCAAATTAGATGTATTATTTCAGGAACGTTACAACCGAAAGCTGACCCGCAAGGCGGTGGTCCGGTTCGTGGAAACTGCGATCCACTTGAGGTCAGTGTCCCGTTCATCGGATGATGCGCCTTTTGGACAGGATTCCAACATCCAAGGTGCCCAGTATATCTCGATACCCATTCAAGCCGCAATCAGGAAGTGTGTGCGTGTGTGTGTGTGTGTGTGTACGTGCTCCTTACGCCTCTTCTAAGCGCTCCACCAGTGGCCCACCGATCCGGTCGACTTTTCGTTGTCCCACTTTGGCATGGTGTTTCGGAAGAAATGGTTATGCAATTACCTCATAATAAGTGAAAAGAGCGTTTGTCTATCCGATTACTCGAACTTTGTTCCACACATTTTAGGGGAATTTGAATCTTGTTGATTGTGGGTTTTGTATTGGTAGCAATGTGCACAGTGACATTGCCGGGCTGTAAGTGTGCGGGTGTAGTTTGTGCGGCTGACAATTCACCCCCGTCGAACCACACATGCACACATGAAATCTTTCTGGTGTCGACGAGGCAGGTAATGCAGAGTCTGAACGCAACACAATGTCTATCACTCGGTTGTAGTGTCTCCACACTCTGGGACGGGTTTGATGATACCACGATTTCAATGTCAACCGTGCCTCTTCATCGCATTCGCTACTCGACTGTGTTTGTATCGCAATGACAAGTACAGTGCCAATGATAATGGCAGTACATCTGTCTCGATTTGTCACGTCAAAGGTTGTCTTGTGTTGTTGTAGCTACTACTGTCCTCCTTTGTTTGATAACAGGTGGGTTTTGTTCAGTTGTATTGGTATACACCACATCCTCTACTTTCAGATTATTTATCCTTTTTTCTCTTTTAAAAATCCAGTTTTCCCTTCCGACCCTCAGTCATCCAGTTGCATTGTTTCTTTTTTTGACATGCATTCACCCCTCCCTCGTCATCCTCACTTACTCGCTTTTGTAATAGTCAAAGTTCTCTCATTCTATTCGAGCAACATTTTGATCCGTATTTGGGACATTGCACGCTTGAGTGAGAGGATCATCATCATCATCATCATCGTCATCATCATCATCACCATGGTCGTTTATCGGTTCGCATTTTGTTCTTTTTGCTGTTCGCCATTTTTCAGCATTTCTTTCGCGGCATTACTGGTATTACTTTTCTCTCTTTCGTGGCCCCGTTTGTGTGTTCACGTAACGCGCGCGCACACACACACGTGCTCGACTGGATTGAACAGGGACATAAGAGATGAGAATTTCACTCACTCATTTATTCTCTCTCCCAATCGTTTATCGATTCCCCTCTTGCTTTTCCCGTTGTTTTTTCTTCTATTGTGTGGTTTCTGTTACGAATTTAATCGCGCTGATTCATTGGTGCTCGATTCTATGTGTCGGCGACCTAATGTACAGATCATCATCAGTTCCGGTGGAAAATATTTCGAGGGAGAGAGATCCAGTTGAACTCATCAACTTCGGACAGGTTTGGAGTTGATTTGTTAAATTATGTTTTCATTGAGCGTTTGACAGTGGCGTATGGGTTGCAGTTGCTGCTGATGGGGAGATCCTTCTTCAATTTTGTTTGGTTTCGAACACAATCCGTTTTGATCCACTGAATTTAAGCTCGAGTTCCGAACCCCATGCACAGGCAATACGCGCCTGTTCTCTTCATCCGGGTGACCGGTCTCCAACCCCGCTCATTCTAATCGCTTTTAGTACTTAGGTAACTACCGACATCCTGATTTTGGTCCTTATAACACCTTCAACAATGTTTGTGTTTCTGCTAGATACGCTTGATAAATAAATAGTATTACTACAGTGATACCGAACTTCCAATTTTACATCTATAGTTTTTTCCTTTTGTGATGGCTCGTTTTGGCCTTACCTATGGATCTTTATCATGCTGGAAAAATATTTCACCACTGTTTACATTTGTCCATGAAGGTTTAGATATTTTAGGATATGTTTTGTCCTTATTTGTATTTACCGCATGGAAACCATATATTGATTAATACTATTCTAATAAATAACGAGTCTTCCGACGTTTCTGTTCTCGTTGGAAATGACAATGTCGCCAATATCAAACAAATAAATATCTCCTCTTTCCCTTCTCTATCTATCCCCGACGATATGCGTCCTCAATTTGTCACGCAATCGACGTGCAAAGCCGTGATTCCTTTGCACAGTTAGATACCAGCGCTTCGTGTTTTGTTTATCATTTTGAATATTTCGTTGTGTGTATGTTTATAACTTCAACGATAGAGACCGATCCGCGGTCCCGGTAGATACTCGCACATGTGTCTTCACGCCCATAAATTATGCCTACCGTTCACGCCACATCTGATCTGTATCACGTTGCTTCTCTTCTGTGTCGCTTTCGCGCGCGCGTGCGCATTCGCGAATCATCACAGATCACCACGGATTTGAATCACACGTGCACCAACAACCACTCAGGTACGTCGGCTAGTGCTCCACTGGCGGCCGGAATTTGTGCTCTCACCCTGTCCGCAAATCCACGGCTGACGTGGCGAGATTTGCAATATCTGGTTGTTTACACCGCTAGGCCGGACGGTCTGTATGCGGACGACTGGCGTGTGAACGGTGTTGGCCGACGTGTATCACATGCATTTGGGTGAGTACCCCACTTTACCTGTTTCCTCTGTCTGTCTTTGTCAGTCGCAAGGGGTTTCCAATAGCGATGGTATTCGTTCTCTTGTGTGAGAGATCCGGAAATAATCGTAGCCACAGTTATTCTGAAGACCAGTTCTGTTCCGTGCGGTGCGGTGCAGATCGTCATATAAATCAAGTTTTATTTCGTAGTCTCGTAAGCTACCGAAATGCAAAGGTAGTTCACTCGCTTAATCATGATTGAGAATGGGGTGTATGCAAGAGAAACCGGAATTAGAATTACATGCTACTTGGGGCATTCCTGGGTTGCGGATAGGGGAACTATAACTAAATATGCCTCAATGTGATTCAGATAGGCTCGTGCTCATCGCATTAACTACACAAACAGGGTCAGTGTCCGAGGATCCTTTGATCCTTTGATAAATACCTTGCTTGAAAAAATTGCACTTAAGTCTGATCATACTGCTGTGCCTTGGCCAAAGTGACCTGCCGGTGGTAGGGCAATGAATCCTAGTACCGCTCCACACACTCGACACTTCACCGTGCAAAGTTCCAAGGTGTAACCTACAATAAAGTCGCTGAATGGTGCTAAGGCCACTACTTGTAATCCTATCCCCAAGAATCTCTTTGAATCGTGGTGATGCCCATACACCCAACTTGCCCTCTACCTGGGCATAAAATAAAAATCCAACGTTGTATGGCTTTCATTCTCTACCGGAACGATCAGACACGTTATGTGGTACTGATTCGGTTTGAGGTTTGTGTGACCGAGTTCTCCTCTTTTGGTATCCCTATTCTCCAGTGTGCGTTTGCGCGCCTTTCCTAATACTTTGTTCTATGACTTCGATTTTATTGTAGTTTACCTCATTCATGTCAATTCTCTGCTAACACCACGTCAGCACGGCTGGCCTACGTTGAATAGTTTTCCACATTAAAAAGACCATCTCCTCATTGGATCTTGTTCGATACAGCTATGTAATTCCCCTCACGCTGTCCTTATTTGTTACGCTTATAATCGGGCTGAGTTCTTTTAGTCTATTCTGGGTGTATTTTCGGTGATTGGTTTTGGTGAATACGACTGATCCCCGGGTTACGGGAATCACGAAATGTGTTACCTGAGCGTACGGTTTGCTTTCCCCCACCCTAGGATCCCGTTTCGAATTGCCATTCCACACGTAGGGATCTGTGTCTTAATTTTGAGTATCAACCTGATCATACAATGTTTTTTTTGTATTGCACTGGTTTACCGTGATATTTTACTGAATGATATGGATTTTTCACATCCACTCATCCTTGATAGTGATTTATACTCCTCGGTTGGGAATGTTCCTCAACCCACCCCCAAAATTTGAGTTGGATACATTTCCCCTCCTTTTGTATTACTCTTTTTATCCCACAATGTGTGCTACTGTCTCCTTTTCTGTTTCTTGCAAGTTAGTTCTTTCCTCCATTGTGGAAGTAAAGAGTACTGATATCCAGCGATCCTGACTCCATCCACTGTGTATGACCTAAAATCAGACAGTGAAACTGTCTTGTCAGTTAGTGATCAATTGTTTCGCGACCAGTAGCGAAACGTTATATGTCTCTTGGCTACGTGGTTTTTGAAAATTGCATTATGAATAAAAACAATCTCCATCGCTCGGATCATCTCGAGAGACGAATGCGTTCGGAATCTCTCGTTAGCAAAGCGTACTTAAGGTTCACAAGTGGTTAAATAAAGTATTATTGTTGTTACATTTCACACATTGCATGTCAAACAAATCGCGGTCCAATTATCTTTATGACAAAGAAAAAGTCCCAGCATACTTCCCGGTTCCCAGACCAAATCCGGTTAATTTTCTCAATGCATTTACATCCAGGGCATTTGGCTGACTAAAAACATGGCCCTCAAGGCCGCGGTGCGGTGCACGAAAACCGCAGTCCGGTGTCAAGTACACTGAATGTCAAAGGTCCCCATACATCTCAAAATCTTCTCAGGCCGGCAAC